ATATTTATAATACGTATATTTCTAGGGATTTATTATAAGGCATTGGTTCACATGATCGTGGGGGCCAAGAATTCCCACGGTCTGCTGTCTGCAAGCTGAAGACCCAGGAAAGCCAGTGGCGTGGTTCACGCGTGAGAGGCAGAGCACCGCTGGTGTGGATTCCAGTCTGGGTCTGGAGGTCTAAGAACCAAGAGCACCAAGGCAGAGGTTCAATGGTCAGCTCGGGGAGCCAGGCAGAGAGAGTTCGATCTTCCCCCTTTTTGCTCTATCCGGGCCCTCAGCCGACTGGATGCGATGCCCACCCAGGCTTTACTCAGTCCCCCAATTCCAGTACTAATCTCTCTTAGAAACACCCTTCCAGACACACCCAGAAATAATGTTTAACCAACTATCTGAGCATCACTTGGCCCAATCACGTTGGCACATGAAATTAGCCATCACAGGACAATGACTGACTCCTCGAGCACCAGAGAGTCTGGGTTGAAGTGCCAGCTGTTGCCGTTTACCCAGCGTTCGGAGACCAGGGGTCTTGTGAGAAGTTTTAGGTCCTCCTGCCGCAACTTAGAAACCACGAGTCCCATGGAAGCTCCCTCTCCCTTCTGGGGTTTAGACACAAGGACTGACCAGCATTAGTGTTCAAATAGATCATCAGACTGACAAAACAGACTCTTTGTGGCAATAAGATACTAAATTATAAACAGGACCTAAGGCCATGCACGGCAAAGGTTAAGTCACGCCTACAGGCCATTGATTTGTTCAATAGATCACTTTGAGTCCTTCTATTGTGGCTTGCTCTATGAATAACAGACTTCCTTATCTTATCTTCCTTATCTAAAACATTCCTTTTTACTGACTCCAACATTTGAGACAAAGCTTTAATCCCTTAAAAAAAATCCCTGAATCCACCTATAACCTGTAAGCCCCTGCTTTAAGATGTCCCACCTTTTCAGGCCAAACCAATGTACGCCTTCCAGATATTGATTTGTGATTTTACCTGCAATTCCTGTCATCCTAAAATGTATAAAACCAAACTGTAACCTGATCGCCTTGGGTCTGCTTTCCAGGACCACGGGTGCTGGCCACAGAAAATAGGCCATTGATAAAGGGGAGGACTTGCCCAGAAAACCTAGCTGGCAGCCAGCCCCACCTCGCTGCTGTCCTGGGGCTGCGCTGTGATTTAGAGAAGGGTAGCCTGTCAGCAGTGTGCCCTGGGAGGGACATTATCTTCACAGGGAACAGAAACGGGAATTGCAAATGCAAATATGTCTTATTAGGACGAACTTCAGCAAGTTCCCAACACTGTTTTCAACTGGTCACATGGTGCCCTGTGCCCCACCGTGCTCTGACCAGCTCGGAAAACAGAACTCAGAAGAGGCTGGAGAAGGAAACGAGGGGTGCCCAGAAAGGCAGAAGAGGGCATGGGGCGCTGCTCTCTGGGAACAAACAGCCTCCAGCCTCAGGCCCGGCTGCCGTCCCCAGCTGCAGTCCAAGTCCCTGGCTGCCACAAGGGCCGCGTGCTGGAGAGATGTCCCAGGGGCCTGGGGCCGCTGGGCTGCCTTCAGCTCTGCTCCTTCTCTGCGTCCCAGGTGATGGAGGGTGGACCCTGGCTGCAGGGGCTCTGCTCTGGCCGGTCAGAGTGAGGGAGGTGCGAGGAAGGGGTGGTGAGGGCCGGGAGAAGAAATGATACAAGGAAAGAGGGAGTGAGGTGTGTGTAGACGCTCATCACGAGGCTTAAGCGGTAGACTGCTTTTTACTCTAGCCATTACTACCGTCATTACTAAGACTCGGAATGCCGTCTGGGTACATCAGAGAGGGGAAGGGGAAAGGGAGCAGAAAACCAATATTTATGGGGATTGTAATCACAGGATTACATGTCTTTTTCCCCACTGTCTAATTTAATTCTTGTTGCAATCCTTATTAAAACAAGAGACTGAGATTTACTCAGAGAGGCACAAGTAATTTAGATCAAACAATTCATAAAAGGCACAGCTAAGAGTCAAACCTAAATACTTTTATTTCCAAGATCATCGCTCCTTTCTTTCATTCATTCGTTTATTTATTTATTTTTTTTTAGAGCCAGGGTCCCACTCTGTCACCTAGGCTGGAGTGCAGTGGTGTCATCACAGCTCACTGCAGCCTTGACCTCCTGGCTCCAGCCATCCTCCTGCCTCAGCCCCCCAAGTAGCTGGGACTACAAGTGTGTGCCACCACACCCAGCTAATTTTTAAAATTTTTTGTAGAGAGGGGGTCTCACTATGTTTTCCAAGCTGGTCTTGAACTCCTGGCCTCAAGTGATCCTCCCACCTTAGCCTCCCAAAATGCTAGTATTACAGGTGTCAGCCACCGCACCTGGCTGGACCATCACTCCTTTTATAATATAATGTCAATTTCTGCTGTCTTGTAAAGGTCCATTTACATATCCAGAGGCACTGATGCATCTTGCCATGGGGACTCTGGGGGGCATTCCAGCAGGTCTGGGCTGGCCCCAGGGGCTCATACAATGGGCCCCCCAGAAGGGGAGACTACTGGGAGCTTGTGGCCAGTCCTGATCTGAGAGTCCTGGACACAGAGGCCACAAATGATGGTGGAAGGAAAAAGGCAGCGTTTCTTTGTGAGGCCCTGGCAGGCAGGGAGCTTGCTGGGGGGAGGTGCAGTAGGGGTGGCAGGGGATGCCCTTGTTGGCTTAGGGTCTGGGCCTGGCTTCATATCAGAGGGGAAGGAGGCTTGGCGGTGGGACTCAGTGGGTCCCCCATGATGTTTTCCTGCCCAGACCCGAGGAAGTAGCCCCGGATCATCAAGAGAGGGGCTTGAGGACCTGAAGGAGCAGGCAAAGTTAGAGTTCCGCCCTGGGCCCCTGGCAGAACAGAGAGAACAGTGCCCCAGAGCCTCAGCTCAGAGCAGCCGAAATTGCAAGAGAGGGCTCAGCCCTGCCACCCCCTCCCTGCCCCCAGGCCTGTGCTTAGGAGTCCTGGGTGGGGGGCAGCAGTTAGCTTCCAAGAACAGGGCACCTGAGCGCTCTTGACATTCGGGCTGCATTATTCTGTGTTGGGGGAGAGGGGCTGTCCTGTGCTTTGTGGGATGTTGAGTAGCAACCCTGGCCTCTACTGCCAGCAGCACCCCCACTCCCCATTGTGACAACCAAAAGTGTCTTCAGTCGTTGCCAAATGTCCTCTGGGGAGCAAAACCACCCCCAGTTGAGAATCACTGTTTAGAGGGAGTTTGCGGGAGAGGAGGACAGCATTCTGATGTAGAATAAGTCGTGGGCCACATGAGCTTACTTTCTGGGAAATTAAGTGAGAAAATGTGAGATAGCAAAGTGAAGAAGCAAAAGATAAGGTTTTTCTTTTAATTTAGAACAAAAAGATAGCAAATGTCTCACCATCACTGAATGACAATATATTGCCTGGGTGGATGGATGGATAGATGATATGCAGGTAGATTATATCCACACATCTTTTTCAGGAGTTTGGTATTTTGCCAAAACCATTTCTCAGTAGTCCTTCTGTCCTGGGTCAACCCTGTTGAGAGCAGATCAGACAGCGGCTGTTTGGGGCCAGTGTGGCTCTCCCGGAAGGAAGCAGAGAGTTTATGGGGCTGGGTCCTAATAATTTGGAACTGGAGCCTCCAGAGTGGATGGAGGGATGAGAGGGGGCACTGGAGGAGGAGTGATGTCAAAATCTTGGTGGGGCAGAGGCCCTGGAGCAGAGGACCTGGACATGCCAAGGATGGTACAAGAGGGAAGGGAGCTCTGCTGGGTCATCAGTGTGGCGCAGAGCCCTGCAGGTGTTAGCTAACGGCGTGTGTTGCTGCAGAATTCTGTCCCAGGAGCAAAATCCAGGTGTGAATGCCCTTGAATCACCACCAAGAAAAGCCCATTTCTAAATGGCCTTTTTGTATCCCCATGGGCAACCCTTCTTCCGCTGTGACCTGGACCCACGAGCAGGGAGCTTGGTCTACACGGGCAGGGACTGTGAGTCTGAGGCCCATGTAGGGCCGCTTGGGAGGGGCAGGGCCAGAAGCCTGAGGCCTCCTCCTCGCCCTCAAGGCTGAGCTTCCTTTTGCTTTCCCGGCTCCCACTCCTGCTTCCTGTTTCCTGCTCCACCGTCCAGCCGTCTGTCTCTCCGTCCACCCATTTATTCGGAGTGTTCCTATCAAAGAGTGGCTTCATTCGATTCCTGGTGACTGATGGGGACAGGTGTCTCTTCTCAAGACTGACACCCCTGGGGACCCAGGACCTGTCCGAGGCCACCAAAGTCATCTTCTCCCCCTAGTCCTCTAAGACGGCTGGACCCAGTCCGGTGGGCGCGGCCTCTTGAGTCTCAGGTCCCACAGCTCCCCGGGGCCTGGCTCCTTCCTGCCCAGCCTGGGGGTGGCTACCAGGCTTTGCGAGGACCTGACACTCGAGGTCCCTCTGGCAGGTTCTTCAGGGTGGAGACGGGGACACTGACTGTGTTTTCCAGCCTGTCTGGCTCTGAGCTGCTCCAGCACCGTGACGGGCGCCGAGGGGGGATCCCTGAGTGTGCAGTGTCAGTATGACGAGAAATACAAGACGTCTAACAAATACCGGCGCAGACAGCCGTGCCTGCCACTTTGGCATCAGATCGTGGAGACCGGAGGGTCGGAGGGAGAGGTGAGGAGTGGCCGAGTGTCCATCGCAGACCATTCTGGGGACCTCACCTTCACCGTGACCCTGGAGAACCTCACGGCAGACGACGAGGGAAAATACCGATGCGGGATCGCCACGCTCCTGAGGGCCGGTGGACTCCACGGCCTCCTGCCGAGCCCTTCTTCCAGGTTGGAGCGCTCGTCTCCTCAGGTGAGCGCCTCCTTTCTTCGGCACCGGGGATGAAGGCATCTGAGCTCCTCTCTGCAGAGCAGCCAAGAAACGGTGGCTCAGGAGAGAACTGGGCCCGGTGCGTGCGCGCCAGAGGTTCCGGGCCCAGTGTGTTGCGTGATGTGTGTGGGAGGCGTGTGCGTGAAGGTGCGTGAGGAAAGCGTGTGGGAAATACGGGTTTGAGTGAGGGAGAGTGTGAATGCGTGCACGTGTGTGTTGAGTGTGTGAATGTGAGTGTGAACGTGAGTGTGCGAGAGCGAGTGCATTGTGAGGGTGGGTGTGGGACTGCGAGAGTGTAGCGAGCGTGTGTTGAGTTGTAAGAGTGTGTGTGTGTTCAATGGTGACTGTATGTGTGAGTGAGTGAGCGTGCAGGTGTGTGAATGGGCACGTGTGTTGAGTTGCGAGTGTATGTGTGGTGTGCAAGGCTGAGCACATGTATGACGGCGTGTGTGTGTGAGTACATGTGCGAAGGCATGAATGTGTGTGTGTGAGTGTGTGCGCAGGTGTGTGCGTGCACGCGTGAGAGCGTGTGCAGGTGAGAGTGAGTGTGTGCCGGGGTAGTGGCCGTGTGTGGATGCGCTGGCGGGTGCGGGGCTTGGGACCTGAGGTCTAACTCTCATGCTGACGTCCTGTCTTCGGCCAGATCCGGACACTGAAATGCTTAGTGGGAGCAGGCGGTAATTCTCCCGCCTTGGTCTCTTAGCGTCCACCTGGCCGCAGGGCACAGCATCGTGGGGTGGGGTGAATGGGACACTCTATTACTCCGTTCTGGCCTGGCTCTGACTATGGGGGGTGATGGTCCCAGAACATCTGTCCAGCGGCTTCCCTGAGTGGCCTCTGCTACACGAAGCTGGAGCCACGGAGGTGCCAGGTACCTGGCAGGGGAGAGTCAGGTACCGGGCACTGGGCCTCTCTTCCTCACCCTCAACCTCCACCACAGCCTCCAGTATGGAGAGCTCCGCAAGGACACCCGGATCTCCCAGGAGCACCAGGCCCAGCCAACGACAGGGGTAAGGGCCACATGTCCCTGTGTTTTCTACCTCCTGCGTGGCTTCTGTCGTAGGGCGGGGCTTCCCGGACACAGCTTTCCTCCATTATTCACTCGCTCAACAGACACGTATTTGTTACGTGCCAGAAACGGATCCAGATCGCAGGGAAGCAACAGTGGACAAGCAGGTGAGGTCATGCTCTCAAGGACACCACAAATAGGTTGATTTAGACGATGGGCAGATGGACAGACAGACAGATATTGATGACAGATGATAGAGATAGGTAGAGACATGTAATAGACACCAACAGAGAGAGGAGATACGTCAACTCACGATAATTGTGATGGAGGAAAAGCAGCTGTTGGGGAACAGGGTGGTGGGGTGCGGGGGAGGATGGTGGGGCGTAATGACGGCTGTCAAGAAATACAAGACGCTCAATGGAAACAAAGAACAAAGGGACTGTCTTAGTTTGGCTTTCCCCAAAATCGGGTCCTGCGACAAGGATCGAGGAGCAATTAGTTTACTGAGGGTGATCCCAGGAAGTATAGCGAGGGGTCTGGAGTGTGAGATGGGGAAAGGGAGAGCCGGTGAAATGTGCGCGGTGAGGGCGTTGTCGCTGTGGCGACCGGAGCCCAGTCCTGCTGGGAACCCTACGAGACACGGTGTAGAACATTCCTCAGAACTGGAGAAAGAGTCTTCCAGACAGAAGGCACTCTGGGGGCCCGAGTTCTGTGGTTCTTCGGCCGGCTCTGCACAGAGAGCCATGTACGCTGCTCTAGATGGCCCTCGGGCAAAGAGCTGGGGAGCCCAGGTGGGCAGAGGAGCAGGGCACCAACAGGGTGTGCTGCAGGGGCTAGTCTTGGAGGGGACCAGGTGTCAGGGCAGGTGCCAGCCAAGCCCCATGGGAGGAGGCTGGGGAGGTGGAGAGATTGCACAAAGGCCCATCTGTGGAGGGGACACAGCACTGGAGGAGCTGGGACAGGGGCAGCGTACTGGGACCCGCGGGGTGAGGGATTGGCCACGAGCTGAGCCCGGAGAGTTCACTCCTTGGGTTTGAGGTTCTTGAACAGTTTAAGTGAAAGAGCTGCTCTCGTGATCATATTTAAGGACCAGTTGAGACTTGTTTGAGCGAGGAATGGCTGTAAGGAATCCCTCATCCTCAAAGTTGTCCCCAGCGAGAGCTGAGTTCCTGTGAGTGTGGGTGGCGGAGGCCCGGTGCACAAGGCTGTGTGGGGGAGCCAGTCCCGCCCGGGCTCCTACTGTCCCTCCTCCTTCCTCACCCTCCTGTGTCTGCTGGGTCCCCACACTCCAGGAGTCTGTGACCCTCTGCATGGGGATCCCCGACCCTGGTGCCAGTCGGGTTTGATGGAGCCCAGCTGGGTTTTGAGGGTGCAGGGCTGGAGCTCAAGGGAAGGTGGGGGACAGGCGGGGCCCCGGACTCCCCTGAGGAGGCGGCTCAGTGCTGGTCACTCATCGCTCTCACAGGTCCCTGCTCGGCAGCGTCCACTTCCTGCTCCTGGTCTTCCTGAAGCTGCCCCTGCTTCTGAGCATGCCGGGTGCTGTCCTTTGGGTGCACAGGCCCCAGAGGGCTCCGTGGACACAGCCGGCCTGACCAAGACAATCCGCATCCCCCATTCCCGTTGGTGCCTGGGCTGGAGGCACAGACCCTCGGACTGCACCAGGAGGAAATTCTGACCCTGAACCTCGTTTCCCTTTTCATTGTATTGATAGATACTTTAAAAAAGAACTTGAAAATTAAAAGACAATACAATCATATGCACAAAGTATGTAAAGAATGTATATATACAGTTTAAGAACCAAAAATAAACAAGTGTACCCACCATTCAGCCTAGGAAATCAAACATTAGTAAGACTTTTAAGCCCCCATATGCCTCTCCTTGACCTCCTATCTGTGCTTCTCCTACTTTCAGAGTTAACCACTATCTTGACTTCTCTGTGGCAATCATTCATTGCTTTTCTTCAATACTCCGGGCAAGGGTGTGGTTGTTTTTGAATCTTGCACAAAGGAAATCATACCATTTCAAGCTCATCTGTTTAGGAACCACATTGGAGTTTTCTCCTCCTCTGACTCCCTGCAAAGTCATTGGTGTGGGAGCCGAGGCAGCGGCTCAGGGCATCAAGTGACTATGTGTCTGGAGTCACCCATCGCCAGCTGAGTAATGTCACGGGCACCGAATTGTGCGGTTGGTCAGGCGTTTTATTTTTACTTTGGCGCGGCGGCTTGTTAAGGAGCTCCTTGTTGAGTGGGGTGGTTCCCTGCTGCGGGTGCTGCTCTCGCTCCAGGATGCGAGGGGTCTCCACTACAGCTCTCCTACTGGGGCTTGCCGCAGGTGCCACACGACATCCTTATCTTCCACCGAGACTGCTAGCGCTGCAGAATCAGTCAGGTCACACGTCCAAATGGCAGGGCCACTTTTACCTCCGCCTGGGGCTGCTGGAAGGGCCTCTCTTGCTGTGGGCCCTACTCAAAACTGGCCAATTGTAAAGTCGCCTAACCAATGAGTCAGAGCAGTATTCCCGAGTGTGGCACGTGCTAGCTGCAGATTCCAAAGATGCCCACTAAGCACTACGTTTTTTGCCTAGAGGTTTGAAATGCAAAACAAAAGAACTCACCCCAGACCATGGACTCCTAAAAATGGGACCTATGGGATGGGCCCCTGAAATTCTGTAGGGTTTATCTCCCCCTTCTGGTGCAGACGTGTCTTACCAGAGCTTCTAGAGCACTTGCTTCTTTCTGCTCTTCCGTCATCCATAAAATAAACTGGTGCGATGTTCTGTGGAGCGCCCGATCCAAGTCCCTTTGGACTATATTGAGACGGAGCAGGAGGCTTGACATAAACCTGGATTGGCCTTAAATGTGCACTGCTGTCCTTCCCAAGTGCAGGCGACGTGCTTCTGACCTTCCTTCTTCACGGGGATGGAGAAGCATGCGTCTGCCACGTGCACAACAGCACGCCAGCTACATCAAGAAAAACATCCGCGATTGGGCGATCGTTTAGGCTGAAGTTGGTCTGCTGCTATATGGCAGGACTCACGTGAGTTTTTCAGGGACCAGATTAGCAAACTGAGGACATGTTTAAAAACGTACCCAGGATTTACTTTAACCAGGTTTGGTAAGGCACACAGACACTGAAATGATTGTCACGAAGGAAGAAGTTTCTACTCACAGATCCTGAGGGGCAGGAGGCACAGCCCGCCACGCAGAGCCACACGGGGAAGCAGCAGAGTGGGTGACGAGCAGAGCGAGCTGCTGGCAGGAGCCTTTTTTGTGGTTTTCACAGGAAGCGATGGGAGAAGCAAGGTAAGCGACTGAGCAGGTTTAGGTAGTTTGACTAATTCTGCTGGGCTCTGGGCAGTAGGGGTGGTCCCTGTCCCTAGTTGTCTGGTACCTGGCCCTGGGGTGGTTTAAGGCAGGAGGAAAAGTCCTACCCTGGGAGTCTGATGAAAGGAGGCAGGTGGGGGTGTGGGCTTGGGATTGGTTGGTTTGCACATCAAAGGTAACAGGCAGCAAGGCGTTCACTTTCTCCAGGAATGAGCTAAGCTGGGAGGGTTATATAAATATATTTTATATGTGTGTGTGTGTGTGTGTGTGTGTGTGCAGCAATAGATGTCCAATGTAGTAGGATGCACTGGCCCAGGGCTCGCCTCTGCAGCCACATCCAATCCTTGTTTATTCTCTCATTCACTGGTTCAGCGAGTATTTTACGCCGGCCATTTGTCACCACATACCGTAGCTGGACACCGGGACATTCACGGTGAGCAAAGCAGACCCACCTGTTGACGCAGCGTGAGTTGCATCCTGGTGGGGGAGATTAATGGCAGCATTTGGTGAAATGCGCAGAGATAAGCACGGAGGATCATGAACGGGACTGCAGGGGTGATCCCTGGGACGGCTGGTCAGTGAGGCCTTTCCAAGGAGGTGACAGCTGAGTTGAAACCAAAGGCAAAGAAGGAGCCAGAGGTGAGCGGACCTGAGGGGAGGGATTCGGGGAGAGGCAGCAGCAGGTGCTGGGCCCTGTGGCTAGAACATAGGGACCACCTGGGACCACATGGGGTAATGAGATGAAAGTGAAGAACCACCCAGTGGCCGGGTCCACTCGGACCAAGTAGGACATGGGGCGAGAGGTGACACTGACGATCACAGACGTACGTCAAAGTGCTCGCTGCTGCGTTGCGCAGAGAAGAAAGAATGGCAAGCGGGATTGGGAAGAAGGAGGGAAGTCGCTCGGTGTGGACAGGAGAGAGGACGGCGGTGTGTCGGGGGAGGCAGGGGAACGAGCAGGCGGGAGAGATGCAGACAGGGTTGACCCGGTGAAGGAAGGAGGACCAGTGACGACAGGATCGGGGCTGGAGCAGCTCAGGGGATGTTACTGGCTTTGAGGATGAAAAGACGGTGTGGAAAAAGGACAGATCTGTGCGGAGAGGGTGGGGTGGGGCGATAGATAGAGCGGGTTTGCACGTGGACATGCTGACGAAGGGTGGCAGACCCCAGAGAGACAGTACGTGGGCCCTGCACCTGGTCCTGCCTCTTGCCCTCTCCAGGGTAAACTGACCCTCAACCCAGCACATCAGGAGAACCAGCCATCTGAGTGTGAACGGACCCCTGTCCCCCCACCCTGAGAAGGTCTGTCCTGCGTCTGTCTTCCCTGGAGAGGCCCTGATTTTAGGAGAGAACCCAGCAGCTGGAGCAGGCGGGCAGACCACCCTCTTAGTTACAAAACCGCCCTCTCTGTGTGCCTTTGGGTGTGGGGAAAGGCGCAGTCTCAGCCTCACATCGTCCCGCCTTCCCTCCTCAGCATCTTCACGCCCCTGAACTCTCTTCCTCCGTTCTCAGTTCTCGGCCCTGATTCTCAGTGGGGCGTCGAGTTTGGCAAGAGGACAAGAGTGGACAGTGAGGGTCTCGGACGGGGGGTGACGCTGCTCTGTGTCTAGGTCTGGGGCAGGGGCATAAGAAGGCAGAAGGCTCAACCTCAAGGACCTCTGCACTGGATGGGGACTCAGCACCACAGTGGGACATGTCGAAGGTGTCTGGGGTCATAGTGCCAACTCATGAGGCCAGAAGAGGAGCTGGGGGCCTCAGAGGACAGAGCTGTCTGTGGGCACCTGAGCTGAAGGCTGGGGGGGCACAGCTCCTCTGTGGTCACCACCAAGGCTAAGGAAGATGCGCACATCTGGCCCCCACCCCCAGAACTGTTAATCCTGACCAGGAAGTGACATATTCACATATGAGGTGGCCACACAGAGGAGGAATTCACCAGCTGGGCTCTGCTGTGCGGGGGCTCTGTCATGTGAGACAGTGAGACCAGCGGCTGCGGGCTGTGGGGAGGGGGCTGCATTCCCAGCCAAGGGACCCTGGACGTGACCAGTCCCTGGGATTGAGGGGAGCTGGTGGCACTGAGTCCCGGGGCTGTGGGCACCAGTCCAGGTGGCTTCTCCCCCTGAGCTGCCCGCACCCCGACCAGCTGGAGCCTCAGACCCTAGAGGGCTGGACGAGGAAGCAGAGCAGGGGAAGCAGAAGTGGGGACTGCGAGAGACAGACCTCCCGGGAGCAGGCACACTCTGGCCACTCCTGGGATCTGACACAGCTGCAGGTGACCTCTGTGCTGGAGGAATGACCGCCAGGGACCGGGCCACGTGGCTGCCTCTGGCCCTGCTCCTCCTGCATGTCCCAGGTGAGTGGCAGGCCTGGACACGGAAGCTCTGTCCTGAGTGGGAAGGACATGGCAGGGGAGGGTGGGAGGGGCCGACAGGGGGCCTGGGGCCGTGGTGAGAGGGTGCGAGGGCAGAGGAGCACCCAGGAGTGGTCAGCACCTGCCTTGCCAGGTGACCGCCAGGCTTCAGTGTGCCACACAGAAGAGTCGTGTCCCATCGTGCTCATGACAGAGTGAGCCCTGGGGGAGGGTGTATACGGTTGCCACTGCCACAGTTATGCAATCCGAAATGTCGCCTTGGTCCATCACACGCAATCACACACGCACACACACACACACACACACGCACGTGTGTGCACACACAGTGTTTTCCCAGCCTGGCTCCTTCCTATCTCCAGGGACACCCCATCTCCCCCAGCCCACCTCTGCGAGGAGGGAGCTGACCCCTGCTCAGTGCTGAGCCCTGGGTTGACAAGGCCCTTGTGCCTGCTGCGGCAACCCCGGGACCCCCAGGGTCCGTGAGGACCTGACCCAGGACACCCTGAGCCAGGCCCGCCTGGAAAGGAGCTGGACCTGGGCTTGCGTTTTCCAGGCTGTTTCTCTCTGAGCTGCCCCGACACCGTGACGGGCACCGTGGGGGGATCCCTGAGCGTGCAGTGTCAGTATGAGGAGGAGTTCAGGACTGCAGACAAAATCTGGAGCACATATAGCGACGACATTGTGGCGACTGGCGGGTCAGAAAGAGAAGTAAGGAGTGGCCGAGTGTCCATCAGGGACCACCCTGAAAACCTGACCTTCAAAGTGACCTTGGACAACCTCACAATGGAGGACAGTGGCGAGTACTGGTGTGGGATCCGAAGCCGTCCCATCGACGGAATTTACAGGGCTGACCAGGTAGAGGTGACGGTGTTCCCAGGTGAGCCCCTCCTTCACGCAGCACCGGGGCCGCCCCAGTCTGGGTGTGGCCCCCGTCCCTCAGGAAAGACTTGGGACACAGGGGGCTCTGAGGTTGGAGGCACATTGTGTGTCCGTGTGTGCATGCACGTGATGTCCCAGTCTGTTCTGCAGGCCCTGCTCGGGTACCGCGCCCTGACACCACTGTCCTGGTGCTTCCTGCAAGGGGACCGTGGGACCACCTTTGCTGCCTTCTTGTCCTGACAAGGGCTGTGTCTACTCTCAGGGGACCCCTCCTCATCTGGACCCATCTCCATCCTGCCTGTGGCGGAGGGACCCCCTAGGGCATCTGCTCCCCTCACTCAAGGGCTGCCCAGGACCCTGGGCCCTGAGTGGCATCACCCTGTGAGGGACGGCCCCGGCCTCACCACTGTGGCCCTGGCCCTGGGGCTCTGCAGCAGCCACCAGAGGGGGCCTGGACCCCCGTGTGGGTTCCCCAGCTCCTGGGGACCTCGCCCTGCCCCAGGCTGACCTGTCTGTCCCCCTCATTCTCTGGCATCTCTCACCCCACAAGGGGACCCAGAGAACCCCCTGAAATGGCGGGTAGAAACAGGCCTCGGCTGTCGTGGACCCCACACTCTTCCGGGTCCCGCAGACGATTCTTCCTTAAAGGGCCCTGCTCTTGTTTCACGGGAGCCAAACCAAGGTTACCCAAGTATATTCATCTTCCCATGGTTTTCTTCTGACTTTCTCCCGAGACCCTCTGAGTTTCGAGTTTCGTCTTCTCGGTTTTCATTTCCCTGCCATGCCCCATGTGGGCGCGTATCTCAGGGCGAGGAAGTAAACTCTGGCTGAGGTCGTGGGTGTGGGGCAAAGCCTCTCTGCCCAGCTGGGCTCACCACACACACCTCTCCCAGGGCCCACCAGGCTGCGGCTTTCCAGATCTTTCTTCCCTATCGCGCCCCCCCCAGAGCACAGTCCAGTGGTCTGCTTGGGGCCATGGCCTGGCTGACATTTGGGGGCTGAGTGGGCTGAGTGGACACGGGTCCCCTGATTCGGGAAAGACACCAGTGACTGTCCTCATTCCCACTCGCAGCCTTATTCCAGCCCCTGCCGTGCCCAGGGCCCTGGGTCCCTAGTCACTCTGGGTCAACCCCACAGAGCAAAGGACACCCCGTCCCTGCCTGGGTGGGGTGGGGACGGGAGCCCCGCCCTTTCCTCGACTCTCACATGCCCTGGTGAGCAGGGTGACTCTCACCTCTGAAAGTGCCCACCTGGCTGCCAAGTACCTGGGGACGAGGCCAGGGAGGGGGCCCAGGGCCCTGGTCAGGCCTGGGAATGGCCATGGGGCATGTTGCACCCAGGACATCTGTCCAGCACACCCTGAGTGACCTCGTCTGTGGGAGTCAGAACCACCCAGGTGCCGGCGAGTGAGAGACCCCGGCGAGGTCACCAGGCGCGACTGTGCTCCTCCACAGCCCCGACCGCAGCCTCCAGCCCCGACAGCCTCACAGGCACGGCGTGTCCTCCCACGCCCCTGCCAGCAGGCACCTGGCCCAGCTCCTCCGGGCAGGACAGCCCCGATGCCAGCCCACGCCCTCGGTAAGGGGTTTGCGTCCAGGGCCGCGCCCCCCAGGGGGCCGCTCCTCTGGTTGGGGGGAAGTGGGGTGGTCGTGTCTCCTTCCTTCCGGTCCCTTCTTTGGTCACCCTTCCCACCTGTCATGTGAAGGTCCCACTGAGTGCCAGACACTTTTCTCGGGACTGTGTCACAGCAGCAAAACACACGGGCACCGTCGGCTCTGACGGAACTGGGTTCTGCTGCGTGGATTCACACGGTGAACAAGTCAGCACATGAGTTCAGGCATAAGGACAGCAAACTGTGATAAAAACTAGGAAGGACTATTTGTCACTGAGGTTTGGGGACAGTGTATGTGGAAGGGCTTTGGGGTTGCTGTTTTTTCCCGACGATCAGGGGTGGCCTCGCGACTTAGAGGACACACGAGTGCAGACCTGCAGGGTGGGGGCCGGGCACCAGGGTGCGGAGGAGGGGTGCCCGGCAGAGGGAAGAGTGAGTGCATATGCTCTGGGGTCTGGGGGTCCCAGCCCTCTTCCCTGCCTCCCTCCCCAGCCCCGGTCAGAAGTGTCACCCTGTGTTGATGAACCCAGTCCTCTGAGGAGTGAGACCTGAGCTGGGTCATTCATTCATTCATTCCTTCGACGACCGTGGCTTGATGCTGTGCAGGTGCGGGAAGGTGCTAGTTACTCTGTGAACAGGACAACACGGGGCCCTGTCCTCACGGGAAAGGCTGTCTATGGAGGAGCAGACGTTAACCAAATAGCACCTTGCTGATTCTTGCACCTCAGAAGGAGGTGCCCTAAATATGGACGGCTTTGATAGAAATTCTTCTGGATCCAGGTTCCACCGGGCCCCCAGGTGGAACGCATCATCCTCATGGCCCCACCCTGCCGATGTCCACAGCCCTGGGTCTCAGGGCTATTCTCAGTATGACCGCTGGGGGGCAGTGTTCTTCTCTGCGGGGCAGCTTGGTCTTTCTGTGGATTGTCGTGGCCACAGAACTGGAGCACAAGGGACAGGGGAAAGCGAAGGGCACCAGAGCCTTCCCATGGAGAGGTGAGTCACTGTCTGTCACTATGTCCCCACAGGTGCCTGCAGGACAAAGCCCACTTCCTGCTCCTGATGCTCCTGAAGCTGCCCCTGCTCCTGAGTGTGCTGAGTGCCGTCCTGTGGGTGGGCAGGCCTTGGGGAAGCCTCGGGGCCAGGCAGCATCAGCCTGATGATGAAATCCAGTAGCCCTGATGCCCATCGATGCCCTGCCAAGCCACACACCCCCTCTTGTTTATGGGAATGACCTTCTGACCAATAAATCCATATTTTTATCAGAGCACTCTGTAAACCTTTTGGAGACTTTTTTCTGGGGATGTAGCATACACACAAAAGAATACGTGCACTTTATTTACTTTTAATTTAAAAAAAATGTTTTTATAGATGGACTCTCGCTCCGTCACCCAGGCTAGAGTGCAGTGGCGTGATCACAGCTGCAGCCTCAAACTCCTGAGCTTGGACGATCTTTCTGAGTAGCTGGGATTTCAAGTGTGAGCAACTGTGCCCAGCTAATTTTTAAAATTTTTTGTAGCAATGGTTGGGGAGGGGTGGGTCTTGCTATGTTGCCCAGGCTGGTCTCGAACTCCTGGCCTCAAGTGATCCTCTCGCTTCAGCCTCCCAAAGCGCTGGGATCACAGGCATGAACCACTGTTCCTGGCCATACGCTTTAAACCAAGAATACTCTTCAACACTTGTGTGCCCACCATCCAGCTTAAGTCACAGAGCATCATGAATAGTTAGGAGCCCCAGACCCCTTCCCGATCTATGTGCCTTCTTTTCCAGCCTCCTCTCCGGGGGCCACATCCTCAATTTCATGTTCACCATCTCCTGGCTTTAAGGGATTTCCAAAGGGTATATTGTTTAGCTTTGCTTATTTTTTAACTTTATATAAACAGTATTATACATTTTTTATTTCTAAGTAATGTGATTTTATCATTCAACATTTTATTTTTGAGATCCGTCTGTGCTGATATGCTGATGCGCTGTGTCACTTATTTGTATTGCGCTGTATTCTGTTGTACGGACATAGCATGACTCACACGCCCCTTCTTCTGTGGATGAACTTCTGGTTGCTTTCTTTTCTTTCTCTCTTTCTTCTTTTTTAATTTTGTGTGTGTTATTCTCTCTTTTTTTTTTGCTGCTATTACTTACAATATTGTTATGAACATGCTTGAATATATATGCTAGCATATCTGTCGGAAAGTCTCTGCTAGAGTATAGCTCTAGGTGAGAAATCGCTACCACGCGTGGGTAACCAACTCTACTCGGTGATTCCAAATTGTGTTCCAATTTCCACTCCCACCAGCGGTCCCACTGCTATGACTCTCATCAGACTTTCTAAACTTTTCCAAGTTAATGAGTAGGAAATGGTATCTCATTGTTTTATTTCTCTGATTACTAATGATATTAAACCCTTTTTCGTGTGTTCATTGGTCATTTGGATTCCCTCTTTTGCAAAATATCTGTTCTAATATTTTGTCTACTTTCTGATGTTTGTGTATGTTTTTCTGATTGATTTGTAGAAATTCTTTGCAAGTCCTTTGTTAGTGTCCTGAGCCACACCCACCATAGGACCTCCAGGGAGAGCTCCTCCCTCTCCGGAACTTGGAGATTTGGAAAGAAATACCCTCACCCACTTTTCCAAAATTGTTTTCCAAGAGTTTTAGCTATTGGGTTATAAATAAGGAAGCTAATTAAATTATGTCAGGTGAAGGTTAGAATTTGTCTTATTACTAGTAAGGAAACCCAGGCCCCCAGCCTTCTCTCAGCCCCCTGCCCTGGACTTATTTTATCTCTTCATCTAGTGGCTTAAGTTTTTGCAAAGGGTACTAATAATAACATAGGTACTCACTCTATCCTAGAACCCTGATCTCAGAACTTCACACATGTTGTCTCATTTAATTCTCACAGTCATCATTATGAGTCCAACTGATAGATGCAAAAACTGAGGCTCAGAGAGGTTAAGTGAGTTAGCCACAGTCACACGGCTTGTACATGGTGCTTGTGGGGTTACAGCCCAGGTCTGTCTGACCCCACGGTCTGCACTTCTATGCATTTGGCTCTAACACCCAAACAAATGCACCTCCTGGTTTGCCCACCTGACATCTGAGTTGGGGCTTCCCTGCTGCTGGGACCCATCACATTTCTGGAGTTGGCACCCAGAGTGTGCTACCCTTGGACCAAAGGCCTGGTAGGCCAGATGACCCCCACTCAGCCCTTCTGCAGACACCTGTCCCCTGCTCCTCTTGACCCTGCAGTCCCCTTGCCTCCTCTTCCCTACCTCGTGAGGATGGGCAAGCCCTGTGACTCAGCCCTTCCAAAACAAGGACACCCCTTTTGCTGAATAATTAAAAGCAGGAAATACCCACTCTATAAAAGGAAGTGAATGAGTAAGAATTTCAAAGGCAGCCTGGGCTCAGGCAGAGCTCCGAGAGTCCAGCTGGAATCCGCTTTGGCTGCCGGCTGCAGGGCAGGGGGAGAGGGGCCGGCGGGGGGCAGGGCCATGCGGCTGCCCCCAGCTCTGCTCCTTCTCTGCCTCTCAGGTGAGTGGGGCTTGGTACTGCAGGGGCAGGGGAGGAGGCAGAGGGCATCTGTCCCAGGTTCCAGGGGAGCTGCCACATCCAGGGGAATGAGAGGCAGCTTTGTTTAGGCCCTCAGCAAAAGCACACTGGGGACGTGCGTCGTGCCAGGCGTGCATCAGACTCTGAGGACACGTAGGGAAAAGAGAAGTAGAGCTCGCCTTTGAAGAAGACCCCGCACGGCTTGGTGGGCGAAACATACACGCAAACTACAACCAGTGGCAGGACGCAGTGAGGCACTGACGGAGGGGTGTGCAGAGGACGGCGCGGCGGCGGTGGCTGGGGGAGCTAGAGAAAGCGTCCTGAGGCCGTCCAGTCTGTGTGCCTTGTAGGAGGGGTCAGTCCCCGAAGCGAGCAGAGAAAAGAGCACCGCAGGGAGAGGGATGTGCAGAGGGATGGAGGCGTGGGGAGGATGGTGTGTTTGTGCAGAGGATGCTGTCTGTGTGCAGGACGCCTCGGGGCGACGGGTTGGATATGAGGTTGGACACGCAAGAGACGGGATTATGAAGGGCCCTGGACACCACGCCCGGGAACTGAGACTTTCAAAGGGAAAACTGCTCAAGAGCCCAGGAGGGAGATGAGAAGGGCTAGAGCATCTTCTCCTCCGTGGCAAACTTCTGAGGACATTATGGAACAGTCCGGAATTTACGCAGTGTGTGCAATATGCGTGGGTTACACAGTCCTCTTGGGGCCTGGGGACTGAGCATCTGGCACAGACAGACCAGTCCACAGAGGGACGGCAGGAAAGAGCACGGCCAGTTCTGAGACCCGAGCTGCAGGTGGGGGTGCATGGTCCGGGTGAGCCCTTGATTGTCCTAAGACCTGGATCTCTGGTGTGAGTGGGAAGTCCCAGGGGTCCTTTTTAGCCCTGAAGTTGCGGAACTCTGCTATTCAGGTTGGACAGAGGGAAATAAGGACTGGGTTACTGCTGCTGTGGGTGATTTTACGATGACGATGAGGAAGCCCAGTGATGACACCAGTAGACCACCCGTGAAGGCAGCAGCCACAGGAATTAAGCAGGGCTCCATATGGCCCGGAATCCACAGGGGACAGTGATTGGGGACATCTGCCTCCCCCAGGCTCCGGGTTTGCATTTGAGTTGAGAGACCCCCAGCTGCTCCCTCTCTTAACCCCTACCTATGGCTCACCTGGAGGCCGAGGAGAAGGGGCGGGCAACTAGGCCCGGGCTCACACGCTGTCACATGCACACACAACACACTTGCACAGAGGAGTCAAAGCGCAGTTACACCCCCACACACATCTCTGTTGTCACACACTCACGCCGTACGCATTCACACTCCTGCCCAGGGTCTCAGAGTCGCACTCAGGCTTATATACACATGGACACGCACTCTCATGCACTCACACATGGTGACATAAAGTGACACATGCACTTGTCCTGTGCACTTGCACATAGCCACACAAACACTCTTCTCCCCCAGGTGAGACCCACCATGGCTGCGCTGTGGCTGGGGGGCGGGGTGGGTCCTGCAGAGACAGGACAGAGAGGCCCTCCTGGTCCCTTGAGTTTTATACATGGGAAGGGGGCGAGTGAGTCAAGCATGAAAGAAAAGCCACCCTGCCACATTCTCGCTGACAGATGGCCACTCGCCACTCTGAGGTTATTCCTGTGAAAAGGGAGCAGAGAAAATGGATGGGGTAAGGTCAGAACGATCCAGTTTCTGGTAGGATGTTCTCTTATCTGATTGATTACGTGCCCCCCAAGACCCCAAGATGAAGACAGGGCCCTGGCAGGGCTCAGCACCCCAGACGGGGACTGGCGCAGAGCGGGTGCTCTGTGTTTGCAAGTCAAAGAACAAATCCTGGTTGTCTCAACCAGGAACGTGATGCCAGGGCCGGCCAGAAGCACAGATCTGTATCTGGGAAGTTACTCCTCAGAGCCTGAGCTGGCATTGCTATTACTGTTGCTGTTACCCGCCCCCCGCCACACACACGATGTCTGCAGGGATGGCCCGCCCCACAGCTGCAAGATGAGACGGGCTCCAATCCCACCCCACAGCCGGTGGGAATCCCAAGGCCTCTCTCTAGGTTTCTGCGCCGTGGGGGCTGGCGCCCCCGGGGCTTCTCTGCTCTGAGCGCTGCCCTTGGCCACCTGTCGCGTGTTGTGCACCAGTGGCCACTTTCTGCCAGCCCAGACGGTGGCCTGGGCCAATCTCTGCATTTCGAGACAAGATAGTCACACAAGGATTTTGTTCACGTAAGGACAGGGGGCAAACTATCCTGGAGGATTGGCAGAGAGGAGAAAGTTTCCATCTTAGGTTCACAAAATCAAAAAACAGACATGTGCACAGCCTGACGCTCTTAGAACCCTTCAGCCCCCTTCCCCAGGGTTCTGCTCTGAGCTGACGGCTGTCCTGCCATCCCCACCCCATCCTCCTCAAACCAACCCTTGAAAACACATACAGGCCTAGTTAACAGTCCCATCCATCATAATCTGTGTTTATGCCCCCGCCCCACATATTTTTTAAACGGGCCAATCCCATCGGGAGGGCTCCGCAGTCAGGTTCAGTTGCTGACGCTGGGCTGGCGCACCTGCAGCCACGGCGCTTTTCTGCCCTTCGTGATTGCTGAGAAGTACACGGTGCATTGACCCCCGCTTTCTACTGCGCTATGTTGTTCTTCTTTTAAGAAAGAAAATACCCTCTCTGCAGACTTCTGCACTTGATTTTAACGTCCAGTCATTGCTGTCTTTTGATGATTCTTCTCCTAATTGATGCTTTTTTTAATTTAAAAAATTTTCCTTGTTGTTTTATCAGTTAATGATATTGTGAGTATTTTAACACAGTAGCAGTATATGATTTAGAAAGAGAAATTTCCCCCTCAACACCCAGTGTCAGTGCTAACTACTGTTAAGAGTTTAGAACACACAATTTCAGATTGTTTCCTACACACGTACTATAGGAAAACCACAGAGATGGAATCATACACTCTCTTAGGCAACTTTTTTCAAACCTAGTAATAACATACCTTGAACAGCTTTCCCTACCATTTTCTGGTGATTTCTCTTTTGCTTTTTAACCATATCATGGGCTGGGCACAGCGGCTCACACCTATAATCCCAACAATTTGGAAAGCTGAGTCGGGAGGATCACTTGAGGCCAGGAGTTCCAGACCAGCCTGGGCAACATAGCAAGATCCCATCTCTAAAAAGAAAAATTTTTTTTGAAGATTAGCTGGGTGTGGTGGCGTGCACCTGTAGTCCCAGCTACTCATGAGGCTGAGGAAAGAGGATCACTTGAGCCCAGGAGTTCCAGGTTACAGTGAGCTATGATCGCTCTGCTGGGCTCCAGTCTAGGTGACAGAGCAAGACCCTGTCTCAAAAAAAAAAAAAAAAAAAAAAAAAGTTGTGGATGGGCCATACCTCTCATTGATGACATTTGAGTTTGTTTCCAATGTTTATTATTACATTAGTGCTGCAATTAAATTAACATCCTTATGCTTTGTTGTCCATTGGTGTGGAAATTGTAGCTAGTCCTGGAGTTGAATGATTATGTTCAAGATCATGATGACCGGCTTCTTTTCAAAAACAGCCACTAAATTTATTTGTACCTACCATGAGCCGGACATTGAACAAGACACTGGAGCTGGGAGTGGGGAAGAGAGAGAGAGAAAAAAAATGAGCACAAAATCTCCGCCCTTCTGGAGCCAGTGCCCCAGCAAGGGAGGCAGAAGAAGAGAGACAGGAATAAAACACCAGTGTGGCGGGAGGGAGCTGCTCGGGCGGGGACAGGAACACGACATTGCCAAGAGGCCTGAGCCTTGCAGGAGGTGTCGGAGGTGAGCAGCAGAAGGGCAGGCATTGGAGAAAGCAGCACACCAGCCTGGGAGGGCACGTCAGGATGAGGGCAAGAGAAAGGTGGGGGCAGGTCACAGTCTGGAGGGAGAGACAGCAAGCAGCGCTGGACAGGGACATTGGATCCGGATTATAAAGAGGCTTGAATGCCAAACGAAAGCATTTTACATCGTTCTGAGGCAGTGGGGAGGGGCTGCAGGGGACGTCCTGGAAGATTTTGAGGAGCCCGCCGCAAGTGCAGCTGAGGCAGTGGCATGGTGACAGCCGGTGAGGATGCTCCCAGGCAGGAGAAACCTCCCTGGATGCCACCGCTGTGATCCAGGCACCAGACAAGGTCCTGGCCTGTTGACGGGCTGTCACTGACGGAGCGACCCCAAATGTCAGGTGTTGGACCCGCATCCGGTTCGTGTCACACCTGTGAGTAGAGAGTAGCACAGCTGTTTTGCAAATAAGGAAGCAAGACTCTGAGAGGTTAAGCAACTCATGCAGGTTTCCCAACTAGTCCGGGGTAGATAGATGTGTCCAAAGGTCATGTTCTCTCTGCTGTCACGCTGTCCTTCTGGCCTGCGACTGCAGAGAGTGGAAGAAGAAAGTAATTCTGAGGAGCATTTCCAAGACAGAGCCGACGAAGTTGGCTGTCGATCAGCCGTTGGGGGTGAATAGGGGCACAGGGTTGGGCAAGACGCCAGGCTCTCTAGCGAGGCTCCACAGTGGTTGAGTTTGAAGAGCGTAGAGTTGGTTCTGATGATCGAGTATGAATTTCCCACGGCTGCTGTCACAAATCACCACCAATTCCGTGGCTTAGGACAACACAAAGTCATCATCTTACTGTCTGAGATCTGAAGTGGGAAATGGTCTCACTGGCTAAAATCACAGGGAATGCAGGGCTGTGTTCCCTTTAGAAGCTCTCGGGGAGAAGCTGCTTCTTTGCCTTTTCCAGCTTCTAGACACCACCTGCTCTCCCCGGTTCGTGGCCCCGTCCTCCCTCTGCACAGCCAGCAGCAGAGCATCTTCGACTCTAACCCTCCTTCAACCTCTCTCACTTATCAGACCCATGGGGACGGGATGATCCCAGATAATCTCCGTGTCTCAAGATCCTTAACTTAATCACATTTTCAAAGCCCCTTGTGCCATGGAAGGGGACATATTCTTGGATTCTCTAATATCTGTGAGGATGGATTCATCTGCCACCCACAAATGCAAACCTTAAATAAACTAAAATAGCTCCAGGGAGCGTGTCTAAGGGGTGAGGAGTTGGCACCTGCCTAGTGCCTACACGCTGCAGAGACCCCTGGCCTGGGCCTGAGGCTCTGGGACCAAGAGACGGTCAAGAGAGGCTTCCACGTGACCAAGGAACAAGTGGTCATTGCCAAGGAAAGACTGTATCTCGATGTAGTCAGCTCCACTGGGGTCAACAACAGAACCGAGGACACCCATGGTACCTGTGCTCATCTCCAACCTGTTCTGCTTTGATCTGGCGTCTGTTAATCTGTCCACGTGGAGCCCCCGCTAGAGAGAAGGTCCTAAAGCTGAGCAGGTCCAGGATGGGGGAGGCAGTGCATCCAGGTCTGTTGGGACTGAGTTTGGGGGACAGACAGCTGGTGTGTCTTTGTAAATGGTGGGCTAGCTAAGGGCAGAACCTGAACTGCAAACGTGGGTTTGGGAATCACCAGGACACAGCAGTCGTGAAGAGCATCCTTTCCTGGAGGCTGGAGAGAGAACCCCAGGTTACCCCTGAGCTGTGCTGCAACCGGCTCCTACTAACTCACAGAGCTGGTGTGGGACACCTATTCCCAGTCCTGTGTCCCGCGATATCACGTGGGTAACCTGACATCAGCCATGCTGGGAGTATTTACACTACGGGAATGAGCAGATATTACAAATCAGAGATTTTTTCCCCCCAGGGAGCTGGTTGTTAAATATCTACCGACACAGCACTAGTTACACCAAGAGTTAAAGAGAAAGGAAGAGACAGAGTAGTTGGAGAAGCAGGAGATCAGAGGAGAACAGCGTTGGGAGGACAAGGAAAGAGGGTGACAGAAACCAGGGCGTCGTGTGCTGTGAGCAGGCCTAGGCAGAAGAGGACCAAAGAGGCCCAGACATCGTCGCCACTGAGGACACTGATGGGGAGGGCCGGGCTGAGGGAGAGGCGGACCAAGGAGTCAGGTGTGTCAGGGCTGGCTGCAGAGGTCCGGGACCCTGGCCCAGGGCGGCGGGAGCTCTATCTTGGGGTTCTGTTTTCCAGGCTGTCTCTCCCTCCAAGGCCCAGAGTCTGTGAGGGGCCCAGAGCGGGGCTCGGTGACTGTGCAGTGTCACTATAACCAAGGATGGGAGACCTATGAGAAGTGGTGGTGTCGAGGGGTGAAATGGCATTTATGCAAGGTCCTCGTTCAAACCGGAGGGTCAGAGCAAGAGGAGAAGAGTGGCCGTGTGTCCATCAGGGACAGTTGGAGAGACCGCTCGTTCACCGTGACCATGGAGGGGCTCAGGCAAGACGACGCAGACACTTACTGGTGTGGGATCCAGAAAGTCGGAACCGACCTTGGGACCCGAGTTAAAGTGATCGTTGACTGAGGTAAGAACTTCCTCATCTACCCCAGGAGGCCCTGGCACTCAGGACTGAACAAGTCAGTGCTCTAACCCCCTCCTCCCCAAGGGCCGAAGAGAAGTGACTGAGAGCTTAAGAGAAAGACGGACAGACGGACGGGGAGGGAAGTGAGAGTACCTCTCTCTCTGTCTCAGTCCCTGAGGTCTCTCCGAGGGAATGCAGCCAATGCGTGGCCTGCAGGGCTTGAGCTGGGGTGGGGGTATGCGATTCGGCCTTGGTGGCCCGTGGCTCAACCCTGCTCCCTGGAGGCTGGACAGCCTCATGGTCTCTCATCAGAGCCCAGGATGGGCCTCAGGCCCCTGCAGGGTGCCACTCTAGGAAGTGGTCAGTCTTCTGGTCCTGTCATTATGTGGGACTGGGAGGACCTGGGATAGCCCAGAGGGTTCCAGTGTTGAGTCCCAGGAACTTGGCCAACCCAGAGTGGCTCTGGGCATTTTACAGGGCCCCTCCTCTCTGGGTCCCCAGACACCCCCTCCTCTACCTTCTCTGGCTGCCCAAAAGTGAGCGAGAGAGGAGAAGGACCCAGGGAGGTGCACAGATGACAGTGGACTCTTCAAAAAGAAAGGAAGGTTCAACTACGAGGTCGACTTCAGGGAGCTCTCTGGCTGCCCTGGCATCTCCTCTGTGCCTTGGACCCCACTGAGGGATGCCAGGGTCTTCCTGCTGCTATTGTGGGGGCCTGAGAAACAGCCCCTCTCTGCTTCCACCCACACATGCGTGCCCAGTCCCTCCTCCACCCCGCATCCACGCAGGCGCGTCAGGACGTGATGTGCCAGCTTTAGCACAAGTATTGTCAGGGGTGGGACCAAAGAGGGATGCAGGGGCTGCCACTGAGCCAAGTGGCATCTGGAAAGTGTCTTCCAGGCAAGCTTTCCCCAGGGCTGCCATGTCAGGGAAGCCCAGAAGGTCTGTGGGGACAGGGAAGGGATCAGGACTCACAGGCAAGGGACAGAGAGGCTGAAAACCATGGCCAGTGTGGGGCTTTAGGGACAAAGGCATTTAGGGGTCTTGAGTAGGGGCATCAGGCTGGAGCTGTCTTGTGTGACCAAAGCCTGGGACCTGAGAAAAGGGTCTGCCAGGCCCAGGGCTGACATGAAAGTTCACCGGCAGGTCACGGTTTCCATGCTGGGCTGGTCTCGGGAACCTGTGACCAGACTGGCTGCCACAGATCGCCTACACAGTTCCTCAGAAGAATGTTTGGTCCCCACTGTCATTGTTTAACTGGGATGTGCCCTCTTATTCACCAGCCTTCTGGAGTCTCCTCCTCCCTTACCTCCCCAAGAACTAGACACCCCATTTTCAGAACCTTCTGTCCTTGAGCCCTGCTCAGGCACTACTCAAGTGGAAAGGAACAGAGATTTTTTTTTCTCCCAACCACTTACAAGGGTAAGTGGAAAGAGAATATGAAAAGATCTCTCTTGCCCCCAGAATAAGTATAGTGCCTACTCCTACTTAATTTTTATTTCTGCTTGCCACACCCTGAAAACGATGGAATAAACGACTGTGTGTCGTGATTCAGAGGTCCCAATAGAAGCCCAAGGGAAGCTTCCTGCTCTGGGGGAAGAAGGGTCTCCTGGTGAGGACTGGCAGGGTGGGGGTGACTTGTGAGTCATGCACCAACCCCCAGCTGTGCCAATAACCTGCAACCAACTTTGCCTGTGTCTAGTGGGATCAGCTTCCTCCCCAGAAAGCCCGTCTGGTTCCTCTGGTTCCTCCAAGAGGTGAGTGATGTGGTTTTTTCTTCTGCTTCTAGCTGGGCCCCCTCCTATAGGGAAGCCAAGCCTGGGAGCTTCTTCTGCCTGTGTCTGTCACTGGATGCCAGTGCCTTTTATAGCCAGAATCAAGGCCCCAAGCCCACCTTCTGTCTCACTCCTACACCCATTACTCTACACCCACCATCTCCCCATTCTAGTGATCACCAGAAAACCGCTCTGCAGAACTCTTCTCTATGAGCACCACCCACCCATTTAACTGGTGAATAAAAAAGCACTGGTGGCCTTGTGGGTGCCAAGGGGAGATAAGATCCCCGTCTCCACCATGTGAGACACCAAGGGACACAACACAGGGAGAGCGATTTACCAATCCGGGACTGGCACTAGCAGGAACAGAGGCAGAAAAACGCAGCCTGCATTTGGTGACTTCCAGGGTCTTCTATGGGCTGAGATGTGCTTTGGGCCAAGGGGAGTCCCAGAAGGTGAAATTAGAAAAGAGACGGGCCAGTACGAACAGCTGAGGTCACCGTAGGAGGAGCCCTTGTGGTTGAACCGTGGAGGAGCTCGTGGGGGTCTCCAGAGTGGGGCTGCTGGGCCTAGGGTCACGGGCTTTGCTGTGCTGGCTGATGGCTCACAGTGTCAGGGATGGAGAGTGCACCCCAGGCTCTGATGGCATTGTCACCTGTCACAGGACCCACTACATGCTCCTGGCATTTGTGAAGGTGCCCATCTTGCTCATCCTGGTTGGTGCTGTCCTCTGGTTGAAAGGGTCTCAGAGGGTCCCTGAGGAACTGATCTACACCAACTTGTCCTCTGAACTTCCGGCCAAAGACACGGCCCCTTAGACAGAAGGATCAGCAGAGCCTTCCCACCCCGGACCCCGTTTCCAGAGGAGGCCTGGGCTGTGGAAGAAACACCTCTGAGCCCTCAGGATGCAGTGACTGAGGCCGGCCTCTGGGCCCCCACCCTGGCCCTGGGGGCTAGGGCACCTCCCTGCTTTGCACGGCTCAGGGACACAGCTTGGGCCTCTCTGAGCTGTCATGGCCTCCTGGGTTGCCAGCACCTTGTTCTCTTGGTCAGGAGCTGTTGGAGTGGAGTCCAAACTGCGGTGTCCCCTCTGCTGGCATAACTTGGGCACAGAGCCTGGGACCGAATCGCAGAGAGAGACAGAGACAGAGGCCCGCCTGGCCCTTGGTTTCCGTCACTCCTGAGACCAGCTCCGCACCGTCCTTGCCTGAGCACTGGATATATGTGTTTTTTAGAAATCTTTTTTCTTAAGCTAGTTAAGTTGGGTTTTGGTGACTTGTGTTCATGCCAATCCTGACTGATGGCCCTCAACTCCAGGAGGGCGATTCTGTGGTGAATTCCTGGTTCTGGGGCCTGAGAGGCCGGACGTCGCCTCTGCCCAGGGAGGACATGGCTCTGAGTCCTCAGGGCTGAGGAGAGACCGGAGCCTCCCTGCCCCTCAACAGGGGCTGGGGCTTCCTGGGGCCACGGCTTGAGAGCGTCCTCAGCACAGCTGCTCAGGGCTCCTCCCCAAGACCTCGCTGAGCCTCGAGAGCTACCTCAAGATGGGGGAGGGCGGGAATGAAAACTGTCTCAGGGAAATGATGTTATTTAAATGATGTTAATAATGAAAAGTGTTCGAGGGAAATAACGTCTCTTTCAAACGCCTCACTCACAGCAACGACGCCCTTGAATAAGGTCACTTCATGCCATATGGGTCAGGGGTCCTCACAGCAAAGGGATCTGCGCTTCTCATGGGGAGAGACAGCCCCATTTGAGATGTTCTCCCACCGCCGCCCACCACACGCACACACATGCGCACGTCTGGAATGTTTCCCTTTGAACACCCGTGAGGATGTGTTCACTGCCCTTTGCCTATGGGTGGGATACAGGAGAGGGGATCCCCTGGTCCTTCTCATGGTCTCCTCCCCTCCCCACGGGGACTCTGTAATCCCCTCTTGTTGCCCTGCAGCCAAAGAGAAGCCTTCTCTGACTTTGAGGTTAGTTAAGCATTCTAGCCAATGGTGGCCCTGAAAATTCCACAGTGCCCAGAGAGGACAGAGTTTAAGGCAGGCTAAGATCCTTTGAGTCATTCTGTTGGGGGCCAAGGCCCACAGGCCACCAGCTGCAGGGGTCCTGCCTCCACGAATACTTCCCTGGATCCAGCCTCCTGGAGAGCCGGCCAGACCCCAGGATGACACAGCTCCATGGGAGGGAGGGCAGGAGCCTAGTTGCTTTGCCAGCTGGGCTCAAGGGGGTGAGGGGCCGCTGGCGATTGTCAACGTGGTGTCAGTGCGTTTCCTGCTGTTTCTTACTGTTAATAGTCAATGAATTCCCTGTTCTCTTCGGAAATAGTGTGGCTGAGTTGTTACAACTCTGTCAAAGAGAATCCACTGCAGTAGAGTAGGCCTCTCTGTCTGTATGTCCTGAATACCACCCGCGACACACGTCCTTGCACCCCCCAGATATGTTTCTAGTAAATACCCCTTGGGGTGCCAATGGGAGCTAACAAGCAAAGCTCGCCTATTATGTTCGCTCTCTGGGGCGGAGGAGAAAGACGGAAACCGATCAATGAGCCACCAGAGCTGGGGTTGCATTTCCCAGCAGATGAGTTTCGAGTAGCTGCCCGGAGCAGAAGGCTCATGCTCTCACCTTGGCTGGGACAGCGTAGAGCCATTTTACACTCCCACCAACAGTGCCCACAGGTTCCAATTTCTCCATATGCGCAGCAGCATTTGTTGTTTTCTGCTGCTGTTGTTTTTTACACTAGCTATCCTAACAAGTGGGAGGTGATCGCCCATCATGGCTTTAATTTGCGTCTCCCTGGTAAGCAGTGATGTTGAGCATCTTTTATATATTTATTGGCCATTTGAACATTTTCTTTGAAGAACTGTCCAGTCAGGTCCTTTGCCCGTTTTTTAATCGGGCTGTTTGGTATTTTTCTTGTCGAGTTTTAGAAGTTTTCTTTATATTCTGGAAATAATTCCTCATCAGCTATTTGATTTGCAAATATTTGCAAATTCTGTGATTCACCTTTTTATTCTGCCAATGCTGCCTCTTGGTGTACAAAATTTTTCAAATTTTCATGAAGTCCCATTTGTCTATTTTGTTGCTGTGAACCGTGTCTTTGGTGTCATATCCAAGAGATCATTGCCAAGTCCAGTATCGCGAAGCTTTTGCCTTCTGTTTTCTTCTAAGGTTTTATAGTCTCACAGTTAGGTCTCTGATCCATTTGAGTTAATTTGTACATGGTGTTATGTATATGGTGTTAGGTAAGAGTCCAGCTCTGTTCTTTCGCACTTGGGTATCTAGTTTTTAGTTATTATTTTTTAAAAAGCCACTCGCCTTTGCTCGTGAGTAGGCAGTTTCTAGTCCACCATTTTACTGAAGAGGTAGAGCCTTTAAGTATTCTGGCCTTAAGGGATGTCTCCGATCCTGCTCCCCACTTTGAATGATCTAAGTCTATTGATCCCCAAGTTCATCCCCAAACACCAGCCTCTCTGGAAGGGTACGTGGCTCAGGGCGGCCACAGCTTCCTCCCCTGTCTCACTGCCAACTACTCATTTAGTTGGTTTGTTTGGTCTTTGGGGATGTCCTTGGGGTTGGCGGATGCAAGTCCCTCCTTCTCTCTGCATCACTGCCTCCATGTTTTCTTTGGTCTATGGCTGGCTTGTCTCCTGGTTCCCAGCAAGTAGGGAGCAGACGCCGATCACACCCAGACACGAGGGCTTCTGAGGAGGAAGACCAGGCCTGGGTTCCCGGAAAGGTTCCAGAGCCCCTCCCGGCACATCTCTGTTTGGCTGCTTCAGACTCAGGTGACCACCCTGCAGTTAATCACAGACAGGGCGATTGGGACCACCTTGCGGCTGGGCCCATCCTCCCCTGACTCACCTGGGGAAGGGTGGACACCCAGGCCTGAGGGTGGCTCCGTCTTGGAGTGGAAGCTGGGGGGAGGCGACCAAAATGCCCGCTACAGAAGCCTTGCTGGAACCCCTCTGTTCTCTCTCTGTCTTGTGTCTTCCTGGGTCCCTGAGCCTCTGTCCACGTGAGCACAACAAGCTCTTGCTCTCACACCCTTTCCTGAGGCCAGGGGTCCTCTGCAGGCTGCAGCTGTGGGACGGGCCCCTCTTCCCCTCCTCAGCTGCTCAGCTCGGGTGACGGCAACCTCCTTCCTGCAAACAGAAGGCACATGCTCCCCACCGCTGAAGTCCTGTATAAGCCATCACCCTTTCTAGGGTCTCAGGACAAACCCAGGCGGACAGTATTAAGACTTTACTTAACTGTCAACTTCCCTCCTAAATCTGTATTTGTCAGGGAACCACTGCCCCTCACCGATAATGGGCTTTGCCTCAGCTCCCGCCTGTTCCCAGCAAGGGTGTGTCCCAACCCCAGGGCATCCTCGGTGGCCTCACCCAAAGATGGGGCGCTGCTGGCCCAGGCCTGGGCGCAGGAGCAGCAGAAGTCTCCCCGGCACAGTGCGGGCCCGGTTAGGAGGTCCCTGTATGTGGGTGTAGAGTCTAGACCCTTCTACAGAGATGCTCGGTTGAGCCTGTCGCAGAGACGTTACTCTTCACCCGTCACGAGCAGCTGTTTGTTGGGAGCCACCAGAGGCAGCACGGGATGTTCCCAGCCACATTTGACTCTCAAGTTCATGCAGGAAGAGGGGGACGTTTTGCTGTCTTCTGGTGTCTCCTTGGTGACAGGTCCCTGGTGTGCTACACTGTGCCTCTTATATCAACGGGCACTAGAAACCCCCGGTAGACGTATTACCAGCGTGACAGGGAGCTGGCAGCCTGTCTCCAGTCTGGTGCCCAGACGCTCCCCAGAATCACTGTGTCTCATCACATGACGTCAGTGTCCCAAAGATAAGCTGAACAGCAATTAAATTGACCCCGTAGAGCCCATATGGGAAGGAAAAGTCCAACTAATCACAGCCTACTCACCAAGCAGGAAGGGTGGGCGGAACCTCCGCCTTAAAGACTTATTTTAGGGCATTACCCTGACCACGAAGAGGAAAAACAAGGGCCGTGGGCAGGAGGGTGACTGCTGAGAGGCAGAGTGACAGTGTGAGCTGGGAGGACTGCCGCGACCTGGGGCTCACACGTGGGAAGTGCCCGTGTTCCGTGATCACGGAACGGAGGTGGAGCTCGCGGTCACGCGGCCACGCGGCCACGCTCTTTCAGCCCGGCTCCCAGCGTGTTGTGTCACCACTGCCTCTGCTAATACTTGGAATGAAGACCTGGCGGAGGGCTGGAGGAGAAGGCGGATGACAGAGGACCGCAGGGGAGACCTGTGGTAGCGACGGAAGGAATTGGGAACAGGCATCCAGACCAACGTGGCGGCCACACGCCACGCGTGGCTCCTGAGCCCTGGAAAACGTGGCCCGTCTGCATCGTGATATGCCGTAAGTGCCAAATACACACTAGGGTTTGAAGACTTACTATTAAAATTTTTGTTTAAATATCTCCATTATCATTGAAATGATATTATTTTGAGTGTGTTGGGTTAAGTCAAATATACAATGAAAATTAATTTTACATTTTTAGAGGCTTTTTAAATGTGGCTACTAGAAAATTTGGCATTACACATGGCTTCCATTATATTCCCATCAGACGGCGCTGGGCTGCTGTCCACGTGGGATCAGGATTTGCTGCCTTTTGTACATTACATGTGGCAGGAGCTGGGGAGCATCCCAAGGCTGCCCCAGCCCTGCTCCCTCTCAGCCTCCTGGCACTGGGGGGATTAGGGTGGAAGGGCCTGTCCTGTTCCCAGTGACACAGTGACTCATCACCAAGCCAGGTGGACTGAGCCAGGCACTGGGCTGGGTTCTGGGACAAAGCATCGTTCCTGCACTTGAAGAGCTCACACCCACAAGTCATCCCCATCCCAGCGACAAGTGCCACAGGTGTGTAATGCATAAGAAGGTGGCTGCCAAGAGGCAGCAGCCACCTGATTCCAGGGTGACCAGTGGAGGCTTTAGAGGGTGGAGTATTTCACCTGGGCACGGAAGCATGAGTAG